CCTGTCCAGCCAGCCTCTTGCTCTGTCAGCTCTTCCCGGTCGGTCAACGACTTCCGGCCTGGGCGCGGCCGGGGGCCCTGCTCCGCCCCGGCCCGGACCTCCAGGCCCCGCCTGTGACGCCCCTTCCAGGCCCGGGAGGACAGGCACTGGGCGGGGCCTGGACGCGACTCGCGCGGAAGTGGCGGCTGTGAGGAGCTGCGGCCCGCCGCGCGCTGTGGGCGGCTGGCCCGAGGTAGGCGACCGCGCCAGGCCGGGCGGAGGCTGACGCCGGGCGGAGGCTGGCGCGGTGCTGTGTGGAGACCCTCAAGGACGCATTTGTACCCCCGAGGGTTTTGAACCAAATGACCACATGGTGAGGGAAAATCCAGAATTCTGTAAGGCCAGAAGTAGGAGTCTTTTAGAGAAGTAATTTAATGCTCTGTATGGTTGTGTTTACATGGAATCTTCTAGATTCTTTCCCCAGAACCAGAGTTGGATTTTCCATGAAGTGAATGAACCTTAAGCTTCAGGCCTCTCCTTGCCTTTAAGGCCCAGTTCATAATTTTCTATTTGTAATTTTTAAAATTGTCCCCACCCTGATTATATAACCTTTAGGCCCCACAGAAGTTTAATTGGATTCTGCCTAAAACTCCACAAGTTTGAGGGACGAGAGAGCCTCCATGTTTTCATTTCCAAACAATTTCTCTACACAGAGACAAAGATAAGTGTTCTAGCTGGGAGCGAATTTTTTTCTTAACATTTTTTTGGCCTGGGCAATATCTGAGGTGTGTTACTGTGACCTTAGTTGAGGACAGAGTTACCCAATATGCTTTAGCTCAGGGTGAATGTTAGGAGGCACATTGGCAGTACATGTGACAGTCACGTGCACAGGTGTGTTTGTTGGGACAGGTTTGGTCCAGGCACCTCTGCCTGCTGAGTGTTCCTGGCAAACATTGGGACAGGCACAGGCCCATTTTGCAGGTGTGAAACCCTACCCTCCTCTCTGTCCAGAGAACTGTGACTGCCCAAAGGGAAATCACAGAATGTCCCCAATTGATGAATGGGTATTGTTCTCAGAAAGAGAATTTGTAAGTCAATTGTTTAGAACAGGAAGGCGTTTCCTCAGATAAACAGGGGCCTGTGTGATCTTGGTTATTCAGGACAGCCCAAAAGAACCACTTGTGTCTCTAAAATCAAGAACTGAACAGAGATAACTGAAACCCCACCCTGTGGAAACATGCAGCCCTCAGGAGATGCCTTCCAACTTCTAACCTGAGATCCTGGGAATCTTCTCCCCTGGACACAGACCCTCTGTGAATGGAGGAAGGGCTGTGGCGCTGGGGAGGCCAGTAAGGAGAAAGAGCTTGGGGCTGGGGGAGGCCCCGTGGGGGCAGAACCAATCCCCAGAGCCCTCTCAGAGCCTAGCCTGCCACACCTCCAGTGGTCAGCAGGCCTGCTCCCTCCCTCCGTTGCTTTGCCCTTTTGAGGTTCCTAAGGTCTCTGTTCCAGTGAAACAATGGTAAACAGCCGGGGTGGGGGGTGGAGGGGGTGGAATGCTTATTTTTGGTTAAGGGCCTTCTCAGGAAAAACCAAGGTGAACACAAGGAAGAATGCTGGATTTACTGAGTAGAAGGCCAGATCATCAAGGTGAGCCCCCTGGCACTGTGGGTGGCTTCAGTCAACACAAGACAAGCGCAATGTAGCCACACTGCTACTTCAATTTTTAAAAAGCTAATATTTTACAAAAGGCTTTCATATCCATTATTTTATTTGAATTAAAATAGTATTATCCCTGTTTTACTGCTAAGGAAACTACCTGACATCAGTTAACTAGTTGGTTGGGGAGGTCCCAAATCCTGTGCCCTGGCTGCTACTGTTGAGAGGCTGGTTAGTCCCTAACAGCAGAGGCCCATAGCTAAGGGCACCTCCAGAGAATACTTTTTCCCCCCCTGGCTCTAGACTCTACAAAATTATCCTAAAAACATCTAAATGTTCTTATTTTATTAAACTTCTCTGGGGAATGAAATCTATACTCTCAGTTACCTGCCCCGGTAACAAATAGCCACTCTCTCATGAGAAAGCCACACTTTATTTCCACTTTGGGTCTTTTTGTTATCTGTCCCCACAAAAAACGTTTGGCAGAGAAAGTGTTTTTCATTACTTTGTTGGAAAAAAGCAATTTGGGGCTTAGAAAACAAGGAACTAGTCAGTGGTTACCCAGTCAGTTCAGGACAGTCCATAGCAGAATTGAAACAATAATGAATGCAAGAATGGGGTCATCTCCATGTGTCAAGGTGCCTTCTCCTCTCCTGTGGCAGCTAAGCTTCACAACACCCCTGAGGGGTGGGTAGAGCTCTTGACATCAGCACCAGGAGCTGGGGAGAAAACTAAAGCCTGAAAGCCTGGAAGTTTCCTCCAAGGCTCATGAACAAATCAACAACAGAGCCAAGGCTAGAATTCTGGTCTCTTGACCCTGGGATTAAAAAGCTAAATCACTGTGCCCATCAAAAAGTCATGTTGACTTTACAGAAAAACCAGGTTTTTATTTGGGTGAGTTTTCAGTTCAGTGCCCAAGTCCGAGTTCCCAAGTTCAGGCCTGCTGAAGGCAGCCCCAAGGGACTTGCATAAGCGAGAACATGAAGCCCCAGTTGGCGTCTGCCAGTCTGTCTGGGGCAGAGCCAGAGGAGTATGTGCAACTGTGCAGTGGTTGGCTTGTCCCTGCTCAGGCCTGCGTGGGAACCAGCAACATTCAGAGGCTTCTCTTGAGATACTGTCCTTCAGGTCTGTCCAGACCTGTGAGCTGTGTGATCTCTCGTGATCTGGTTTATGCTGCTGCTTTTGGTGCATACTGTTTCCGTGCGCATCTCTCCAGAGCTGGAGAAGCCAGGTCAAGGACTCAGGCCAAGCCTAGGATGTGGGTTTGCCTCGTGAGAAATCCCCGTCTTCATCTGATCACTTAATGCTAGTCCAGCTGACCACAGTGGACACTGGAAATAGATCCAGGAAGTTAAGTCCACAAATTTTATCATGTAGTAGGGTTTGGGGGCAGACTCTGTTGATGCTAATCTAAGACCGTTTACCATTCCCTCTCCCAGGTCCAGTATTTTATTTTTTAAGAGACAGAGTCTCACTCTGTTCCCCGGGCTAGAGTGCCGTGGCATCAGCCTAGCTCACAGCAACCTCAAACTCCTGGGCTCAGGCGATCCTCCTGCCTCAGCCTCCTGAGTAGCTGGGACTACAGACATGCGCCCACCTAATTTTTTCTATATAGTTTTAGTTGTCCAGCCAATTTCTTTCTATTTTTTTTAGCAGAGACGGAGTCTCGCTCTTGCTCAGGCTGGTCTCGAACTCCTGAGCTCAAACAATCTGCCCGCCTCAGCCTCCCAGAGTGCTAGGATTACAGGCGTGAGCCACTGCGCCCAGCTGGCAAGGCATCTTTTTAAAACACAGATCCCCAGACTCCACCCCAGCTTCACTCAATCAGATTCTTTAGGACTGGACCCCAGGAGTCTGAATTTTTTTTTTTTTTTTTTTTAACAATGCTATGACTGTGCTATGGAGTCTGAATTTTTAAATCTCCCCAGGTGATTTTAATTCAGCCAGATGGTGGGCAAGCTATTAGGAAACGGTGCCCGGGATGCACGAACACCCTCCTTGCCCTCAGTGCCACAAGGAGAAAAACCACCATCCTCTCCACCTGCACACATTAGGGCGGCACTGCACACTCAGACCCAAAGTAGCCAGCTGTGACCCAAGCTCTGTTGCCAGTCCATTTCAACCTTGCTCTCCTAAAACATGAATATCGTCTCCTTTTGACCTGGGCTCACTTCTCTCTGGTTTTTTTTTTTTTTTGAGACAGAGTCTCACTTTGTTGCCCAAGCTAGAGTGAGTGCCATGGCGTCAGCCTAACTCACAGCAACCTCAAACTCCTGGGCTCAAACGATCCTCCTGCCTCAGCCTCCTGAGTAGCTGGGACTACAGGCATGCACCACCATGCCCAGCTAATTTTTTTCTATATATATATTAGTTGGCCAATTAATTTGTTTCTATTTATAGTAGAGACGGGGTCTCGCTCTTGCCCAGGCTGGTTTCGAACTCCTGACCTCAAGCAATCCGCCCGCCTCGGCCTCCCAGAGTGCTAGGATTACAGGCGTGAGCCACCGCGCCTGGCTTTTTTTTTTTTTTTTTTTTTGAGACAGAGTCTCACTGTGTTGTCCTGGGTAGAGTGCTGTGGCATCAGCCTAGCTCACAGCAACCTCAAACTCCTGGGCTCAGCCGATACTCCTACCTCAGCCTCCCGAGTAGCTGGGACTACAGGCATGTGCCACCATGCCCACCTAATTTTTTCTATATATATTTTTAGATGTCCAGATAATTTCTATTTTAGTAGAGACAGGGTCTGGCTCTAGCTCAGGCTGGTCTCAAACTCCTGACCTCCTTAGCCTCCCAGAGTGCTAGGATTACAGGCATGATCCACCGCGCCTGGCCTGGGCTCACTTCTCTCTGAGTGGATGTAGGATGGGGAAGAAGTCCCAAGAGTTGCTCATTCTACCTCTCTCATCTAAGACCTACACACACACACACACACACTTTGCCCTGAACCCAGCAGCCCCAGGCGAAAGCTGAGTCGGGTGGACAGGAGCTGCTGTCCCCGCCCTGGCACCTGCAGTGGGTACACTAGTAAGCAGGGCAAGACTGGGAATCCCAAGACCCGCCTCCACTTCCTTCCTCTGTCCCCGCAGCGCCTCTCTCAGTGAGTCTCCTCGTTGCAGGGCAAGATGCAAATTCAGTGCTGTGCCTGGTGTGATGGCACCACCAGGGCATCAAGGCCACACTGAGTTTAGGGATGGGGCCTTTGAGCGGCTGAAAATAGGGCACTTACTTCAGAAGTGTTTGAGGTTGTCCCTTTTCCTTGTGACAGAAATTTTGTATTTATGATGGAGAGTGAAGTCCTGGCTTGGAGGCAGAGAGGCTGGAAGGGCAGATTCGAGATGGGAGTTCAGACGCTCAGTTCACGGCCCTGTTCACTGAAGATCAAACATGTTCCAAGTGCTTTTGAGTTTTAAAAATCACTTCACTCGTTTTCAAAACCTCTGACTCCTAATACCTGTGAAAGGCAGTAGAGACATAGTTGCCCTTTGTGTAGATTCAGAGCAAGTGTGCAATAGAGAATGCCGAGGCCCTCGTATCAAATAAAGCCCCCACGAGGTGGCTCTGTGTTTTCTGCTGAATATGGTTTACCCACTGTCCCAGGCAGGTAATGCCCGAGCTCAGCATTCCACCAGTTTTCTCTTTGCTTTAGTATCTACGTCAACATACATGTTTTCCATGATTTTCCTCTGAGTTTGGGATCCCCAAGTTCCCTCTGCCGTGGGCCCCTATCAGATGACATTTCCCTATGCATTTGTCTCATTCAGAATTCCTGGTGTCAAGATGAGCAAGATTATTGTACATACCTTGAAATGTGGAAGGAAATGGATGCCTCTTATTTCAGGAGACTATTCTTTACCCAAAATCCACTGAGGGCTCAGAAAGAGCTCTGGAGTCAGCATCAATTATTAGCCGTGTGAGGCAAAGGATGTTACTTAACTTCTCTGAGTCTTAGTTTTCCCACGTGAAACACCTGGACAATAATACCTATGTTGCAGAGGTCCTGAGAGAATTACAGGTGTATCTGTAAAGCAGCTGGTATACAGCAGGAACTCCATAAAATGGTAGCTATAATTATTACTCACTTCCCTATGATAACCTTCAAGCATGCAAAGTATTTGACTGCCCAGAAACGACTTAGGAGCAGGGAACAACCCTATCCATGGCTAAGCAGGTATCTCTTACACAGCCCTTCCCTGGAAGTGCGCTGCTGGGGTTGTCACAGTCTTGGGGCTCCAGCCCAGCAGGACTAGGCATTCCCCTCACGGTTTCCTTCCTAACTGTGTTACCCTCCTCACTCAGTCTTATAAAAATAAGTAAAATAACACTGACCTAATTCTTCCCAAGTCTATCCAAATGAAAAATCTAGAACTTAGCTTTGCTGCTGTCCGAATTCTGTTCTCTGCTATCAATCCACAAGGACCCCACTGCCCAGCTTTTGAACCAAGGCGTGAACCGCAGAGCCATTTGGCCAGAACTGCAAAGACAGTGACACTGTGTGGCCAGAGGCAGAAGTGCAGACTAGTCCAGAGTGAGTATTAGGCTGGGTCTTCTCTGACCTGGGGCCATGTTCTCTGTTAGGTCCATTAAAAAAACTTTTTTTTCAAGTTAGAAAATAAAATGAGGCCGGGCATGGTGGTTCACGCCTGTAATCCTAGCACTCTGGGATGCCGAGGCAGGCAGATCACTCAAGGTCAGGAGTTTGTAACCAGCCTGAGCAAGAGTGAGACCTTGTCTGTACTAAAAATAAAAAGAAATTAATTGGCCAACTAAAAATATATAGAAAAAATTAGCCGGGCATGGTGGCGCATGCCTATATTCCCAGCTACTTGGGAGGCTGAGGCAGGAGGATCGCTTGAGCCCAGGAGTTTGAGGTTGCTGTGAGCTAGGCTGATGCCACGGCACTCTAGCCCGGACAACAGAGTGAGACTCTGTCTCAAAAATAAATAAATAAATAGATAGATAAATAAATAAATAAAATGAGGAAGGAAGCACAGCACTGTGCACGTGGGGGTGGTATCATGTCCTGCTTCACAAACATGTCTTTCCTGTCCACAGCGTGAGACTGGAGAGCAGTGTGGCTTGTGCCTCAAATCAAGGACAGAAGAAGCCTAGCCACAGGGCACAAGTCAGTTTCTAAATGCTTACTGTGTTGCCCTCAAGAACTGCGGAAGACTTACAGACAAATCTTAGCAATCTTCATCCCTCTCAGATATCCCTTTTTGGCACACTCAGACCTTGAAGACTAGGAAAAAGTATGAAGGACGCAATACATCCTGCAGAGTTATCCTGTCAAAGGGAAAATGGCTTTAAATCATGCACAGCAATGACTGGCCTTCATATACAGCTCAGCATGAAAAAATACTGTTTCTGTAGGCTGGAATGACAGTGAGGCACCGTCACTGAATCTAGTCTAGTCCTCTGCTTCTTAGCAACTTTGCTCCCTGAGCCCTACCAGGTAGATGAATGGGTGTTTGTCCCATCCTTTAAGTTATAATATTTATGGAGGAGTAGCCTCCTTCTTCACACTAGTGGGCTCAGGTTTTTACTTATTTTAGAAAAGCCCCAGGACTTGTCCCATAATTATGCATTCTCACAGGTAAAGACTTCTCATGGGAATTTCCAGAGTAAATACTTAAGGGTCTCCATTTACACGAATCGGATTACATGTTCTCTAGATCTAACCATCCCCAGAGAAATTAATGAAAACCTAAGTATCTCCTCCCACCCTCATGAATTCTTATCTTAAACCCCTCTGCTTCACTGACTTGAACCACGCCAAGTCACAGGATGGTGGAGAGAGCCCTGAACTTGGAACCCTCCCTGGAGTTTGGAACAAGGACTAGGAGAGATTCAGAGTCACTGCCTATAGCTGGAACTGTAACCTAACTCACATGCCGTCCGCTGCTGTTCCCCAGCATGAGGAGAGGAAGCTGGAGGGGGGAGGACAGAGGAGACCTCAGAGAAGAGAGAGGAGGAGAAGGGAGAGCAGAAGTATCTAGGTCAGTTCCTAAAGACCCGGGAGCCTATAGGATTCCTATGAACCCTTATAATAGCCTCTCCTTCAAATCTGGCTCAAATTGATTTCTGTTACTTCTAATTTTAAGAGAATAGACTACATGGTGGACTGGGCAGTTAATTTCATTATGCCTTAGTTTCCTCATCTGTTCAGCAAGAATTATCATTCATTCACTCAGCAAATATTTACTGAGTGCTTTTTCCATGCTAGGCTCTGTTTTAGGTACTGTGAGACATAGCAGGGAACAAAACAGATTTTGAAAATTCCTTTATGAAACTTCTACTAAAAAGGCCTCTGGAAGTTAAGTACATATATGAAAGACATAACTTTCAAATCAAGCACCAACCAAGGAGCTGGCTGAACCAACAGGCAGAGCGCAAGTCCCAAGTCCTGAAGATGCACTCTGGGCCCAGGATCACTTGAAACAGTGTATGTTCCTTTTGGCTTTAAAATAAAATTGGCTCTCCAAGTTAGGACTTGAAACCCAAGTTCTGGAGAGACTTTGTCCAGGATGCTATTATGAATGGGACCTGCCCTGTCCATCCTGCCTTTAAAGGGAAGCAGGCAGGCATACCTTTCTCCTAATCTTGTCTTGAGGACAAAGTGATGGCAGATAGCTAAACAAATCCTGCTTTATATTCACATAGGAGTCGGATCAGCAGCCCTGCCAGTACTGGGCGGAGGGAGGTGGAACAGCCAGGGCAAGGCAGCCCTGCTCTGTGCCAGAATGTTCTTTCTCTCCTCGGCAAGTTTCCCTGGGATGCCTACGACTGCTTGGTCCAGGCACTACACTGAATGCAATGATCTTTTGGTCAGAGTACTGGGTGATTGTGCCAAGTTTCAGGTATTAGGAACCCTATCTAGGGCTGCCAAGAGAGCACTGGGAATTAGGACCAGTTTTCCTGTCTCCCTGCAGATCTCGGCTAGCTCTTGATGTCTGTAGTCCAGTGTAGTCTTTGGACCACCATCATAGGACCCCCTAGGGTCCCAGACCAAGTGAATACAAAGTTATGGTGTTAGAGACCTAGGACTCTGCATTTTGACAAGCCCACTAAGGTCTGGGATTCACTGAAGGTCTCATTCCCTTCCCACTCCAACATTCTATGGTTCTGAGCTGAAGCTCATGTTTTTCCAGGGTGGCCTCCACATTGTCCAGCTGTATTCCTACAGCATCGCCAGCCACTTCACAGACAGCTGCCAATGGGTCAGATTCACCAAGCATGTGACAGTAACTTCATCCCAACCTATTTTGAAAGTCGGTCAGTAGATGCAACACTCACACTGGTATTGAACATAGGGCCTGCTCCCACAGCAGGAAGAGAACCCTGATTACCCCCCCTTGCCACGACTCTGCAGCTATACCTCGATGCAATGGATTACCCATTTCCCTTCGCGAACATGGAAGTGACTTTTAGGGATTGTGAACAAGTCACTCTCAACTAATTTCTGGAGGTTCCTAAGGATGGTTTAGATTTAGCTCTTAAATACTTTGAGCACCTGATACAAAGGAACTCTCCAGACCGCTAGAACAGTGACATCAGGAAGAACGTGTCAGCCAGTGTTTCAAATCCCCACTATTTTGGTTGATCTGTGTGACTGCTTAGTTATGGTTAAATATGGTAAAGATGGTTAAATGACAGGTATTAATAATAAGCCAAGGACATGGTTTTCATCTTTTGTAGAACAATTAACTTCAATCAGTTTCTGTCATGAAAAGTTACCTTGAAAATGTCAACCACAGGAAGCTGAGTAACTGTGGACTCATTACTGGTAAAATAACCATAAGTCTGAGGTTCCTCATTGTTAAGTCAGAAGGCTCTTCTCTAGGTACTAAAGACACAAGTAGTATATATGGCCACGACACCTTCAGGCAGAAGCTATTTTAAACAGTTTCACAATGCTATTTGGTCGTCACAACCCAACCTAACTCATTAGTTTCATTATTTCCACAGAGATAAAGTTTTCTAGAGTAAAACTGATGTCTTTATGTAGTTACCAGCTCCCCTGCAGGCTGGTCACTGCAGTGCAGCCTGGCCCCATGTCTGTCTTCATAACTCCTTCCCCGTCTTCGGGGAGTAACACCTCCCTCCTGCACCCCCAACTCTGCCTTACTCTCTCCTGGCCCAGACACTGGAGTCCAAAACCGCAGAGAGCAACGTAGAGAAGTCTGCAAAGAACATCCCCGTCATCTGTGCTTCCCCAGGGACCCTGGGAACAAACCAGGGTTAACCAGCCAACTTGGTTGGCTGTAAAATGGAAGAAGGAAAGGGGGAGGGTAAGTGTGAGGTTTCAACATAAATCTCTGAATTCTTTTGTTCATTATTAATAGTAGTAATATTAATTTACCATTTATTGAGTGTTTAACTTTGCACCAGCCCTGGGGGAGAGCACTTAAATGCATTACCTTACTTAATTCTCACAGTATCCTCCTGTCCCTCTCCAATCGCCACACCAGAGCCCTGAGGAGACTCAGTTTCCTCACCTGCTTCCACGTCATGCAGCGGGCTTCTAAAGATCAGGTCAAAAATCAAAGGAGGCCCGTGAAAGACGATCATGTGCTGAAATAACGAAAGGGAGAGAAACCTCTGTGAAGGGTGTTTAATGTCAGAGAGAAACTAACACCTGGGGCAGAGATGAAGAGAGCACGGCAGGCCTGGCCTGCACCCGTCCTGGGGTTCGGGAAGCCCTTGGCGGGAGAGTGACAGCAGCAGCAGGCGAGCTTCCTCTCCCTGCGTGTGGGCAGGCGGCGTCCCCGCAGCCCAGGCACACACACTCAGCTCATGTCTTTCCCGACAGCTCACGTCTTTCCACGACGGCCCCTCGCTCTCCGCGCAGGGACCTTGCGGCAGGAGCTAGTGAGCTGCGGAAGAGGAAGAATTCTCACTGGAAAGACAGGCCCAGGAGTCCAGGGAGGTGCAGGTCCCTGTGTGCTGGCAGGTGGGAGACAACATGGGACCTCTCCACCCACGCGGGGAGAAGCCATCCTGGTGACTGGGTTCCACACATGCATGAAAGAGCAGGAAAGCCCTGGGCTCCTACCGCACCAGTCTATATTCTGGGCAAGACCCTGGAGACATCAAGGTTGAACCTGAGTTCTCGCCACCTTCCTTCCACAGGGCCTGCTGGCCTAGTGGCTGGGGTCACAAGCAGTCATCCAACCGACAGAGACTTCAGACTTCCAGGCAAAATCATTTCCTCCAGCTAACCACAACCTCTCTTCCAAGGCCATGGTAGACAGATAGCAAATATTTCCAAATCCCTACGTCCTGGGAGTCCTCACTAGAGGGAAAGAACAAGCCCTGGGAGTAAGGAACCAGCAAAGTCCAGTCCTCAAAGATCTCCAGCATCTCTTAAATAAGATTTTCCTTTCCATTTTCACCTTTTAATTATTTAGCATCCATCCATTCATTTATACAAATATATAATAGGCTTATATAGATTTATATAATATAGACTTTTGTGAGGCAGAGCGGAGGAGAGGGCCAGGGGAGTGGCCCCTGGCTATTTACAGACATACTGGTCGACAATCTCGGTGCACTTCTTGCACTTGACAAAGCAGCACCAGTGGAACTTGCAGTGGCAGCGCTCTACCTGGACACTCTTGAACTGGTCGTAGCCGCGGCCGCAGCACATGAGTTCGCAGCCGTCCATGCCCTCGGACGTCTTGTTGCACAGGCGGCCCTGGGTGCCCAGCGAGCCTGTGCTCTCGTTGCGAAGACAGTAGTCGGGGCTGGGGTCCACGTAGACCAGGTCCTCTGGCGTGGGCTGGTTGAAGCGGCTGTTGACCAGCTCCAGCTTGCCTTTGCGGGTGACGCGCATGGCGGCCGCGCTGTCGTACTTCTCCTTCAGCTGGTCCCCCACCTTGCGGAACTCAGCCAGCTGGAGCCAGCAGGTCTTGAGGCTGCAGGAGCCTGAGACGCCGTGGCACTTGCAGGCCACGTCTGCCATCTTATACACAGCCTGTGGAAGGAGAAAGGAGGGGTAAGGAGGGTCCCTGAAGGGAGAGGGCCACAGTGCGGAGGGGGCAGAGTGCTTGTCACATGCGTGTACAGATCTCCTGGGGACCCTCAGACTGAAAGCAGGTAAAAGGAGCAACGCAGAGAAGGCTGGAGAGGCCAATGTGCACCTTCTTTATCAGCTGTGAGGGTGGCATTTGAATCACTTTCCCTTTCTATTTTATTCACATCTCAGTCCTCAACCTCTGTTGCAATAAATGTGGCATTTTCACAGTCAGAAAAGAAAGATATTTCCATCTTGATCAAAGTTTCAAACAAATAAATAAAAAATAACAAAATGTGTCCAGGTTTTGCATAATATGGAGCACAACTCAGAAAAAAGAATCCAGTTGTATCACAAGGCTATCACAGAAACTGCTGGCATGACCGTGCTTAGCCCAAAGCTCACCCTGGGTCTGTCAATCCCATAAGGCTGCGGTCCCCAACCCCTGGGCTGAGGACTGGTACTAGTCTGTGGCCTGTTTGGAACCTGGCTACACAGTGGGAGGTGAGTGGCCCAAGCTTCATCTGTATTTACAGCCGCTCCCCATCGCTCCATCGCCACATAAGCTCCGCCTCCTGTCGGATCAGCAGCAAGATTAGATTCTCATAGGAGCGCGGACCCTACTGTAAACTACGCATTCGGGGGTCTGGGTTGCGGCTCCTTATGGGACTCTAACGCCTGATGGTCTGAGGGGGAGCTGAGGCAGTGATGCCAGTGCTGGGGAGCGGCTGCAGATACAGATTGTCATTAGCAGAGAGGTCCGACTGCACATAAATGTGATGCGCTTGAATCATCCCGAAACCACCCCCCCACCCCGCACCAGTCCACAGAAAAATTGTCTTCCATGAAACCAGTTCCTGGTGACAAAAAGTTGGGGACCTATGCCCTAAAAGTTAAATGGTCCCTTTTCCCATGTTACCATTCACTCACTAACTAGAGTCATCAAGAGCTTTACCATAATCATCACATTTGTAAGCAAGACCACTTTCTTTCACCCCAGTTGCCCCTACACGCTGCCCTGGTGTGGAGGCTGGTGTGGAGGAAGAAGGGGAGGCCGTGTGCAGTGGAACAGCAAGGTGGCAGGCCTACCTGCAGGGCAAGTCTCCTGGAAACAAGTCTACCCCAGAAGTCACAGAACCATAACAATGTGGGGTGGATTTGAACTTGGGCTATCCCAAATCAAAACGGAAAAGCAGGAGTAGACCAGGAAGCTGCTCACAAAGTGCTTTTCAGGGACAGCGAACTGCTGCGTTGTGGCAAAGAACCCTGGCAGCAGGCCCAGCAGTGCAGATGGTAGGATAAAGATGCAAGCCTGCTGCACAACATTTTCTTATACCACAGCTGTTGTCACCAGCTGCGTCAGGACTCAGTTTTCAAGGGTTTCTTTTAGATTTCTTTTCAAGAGTACCCAGATTGTGTTTTTATTCAGTATTGGGCAGAGACCACTGCAGGTGCAGGAAACAGTATAACCATCATCAGCTCATATGACTACTGTCAAAATGCTTCCTGAGTTTTTTCCTGGTGTAGAATTATTCCTGCTATTTTATGATAGACAAATTGAAGCTCCAGAGAGGCTCACTGATTTTTAAGGCCACCCAGGAGGGAGTCAGAGTGACTATCAATTCTGCACATCTTGGGGCTTAAAAGTGGCTTAGGACAGAGAAGGAAGAAGGCTCCTCCCCAAGGTTAAAGGCACCAGCACTTGGCCTGGTCGCTCCAGGCCTGAGGCCAAAGGAACTAGCACCCTATTCTAACAGGCACTTCAAAGACAGGACCTGCAATTACCCTTCTGGCCCAAATCCTCAGGTCTGAGCTGGTCTGACATTCCTCTGGAAATGGTCCTTAGTGCAGAGAGTGAAGCATTAAAACTGTGTACCTTGCTGCTTAGTGACTCAGGGCACAAGATAAGCATCTCCTGGGAGCAAATAGGGAGATTTGGGGAGGACTCAGAGCAAGACTCCATGGGGCAAAGACAAGAATTTTAGGAAAACAAATCCAAAAGGAGGAACCTGTCACTGTGCTCATGGTTCAGACACCCATTCCATCCTTCCTCTACTTTGAAGACATTGTAGAAAGCGTAATATCTCTATTTTTTCATATATTACTATTGATAATATATATAAGCTCTTTTTGTAGAGGAGAGGGAAAATCCCAATTTTTGGCCCATCTTGCTAACTCAAAAAGCAATAAAATGCCTTAAAAACTGTTTTAGCTCTACATCTCGCCCCCTGGCAAAGCCCTCTCTTAAGTTCCTCTTCCACTTCTGTCTAATGGTTTGTTGGGCTTGGTTACTGACAGGAATGTCCCCGGGATTAGGCACCAGGCTTTTATCTGGAAAATCCTCAGAAACTCTTAAGTGACAAAACAGTATCAATCCACTGGTTTTACCAGTGTCTAAAATGGAGCTACTAGAAACTCTTAAAAGCCAAGAGAAACTTCAAGCAAAGTATGCCCAAGACTTACTCTATGGCCAAGATGGCAGATCCTAGATCATCTATTTTTTTTTTTCAAATCTGGTGCTTTGAAACACTAGCCCAGGGCATTTCCAGCCCCACCGCCATTCAGTGCTTTCTGAAGAGCTTTTGTGTAGGTGTGAGCAGGCAGCAGTCCAGTACCTTTGGGCTCAGATGGTGATTGATGGCCCAGGCCTGTTCCTTGGAGAGGAGATGAAAAATAGAGGGACAGGAATTCCCAACCTGGAGCAGACGGAGGCAAAGTGAGACAGAGATAAAGGGCTGCAGGAGAGAAGAGGCATGGGCTCTATGGCTGCAAGGAAGAGGGAAGGTGTGCAGCAGGCACCAGGCAGAGGGAGGGGCTGCTAGATAAGGCCCACACAAATAACAAACCTTGTGGGGGGCCATAAAGCCAGGAGCCAGCAGGAGGGGTCAAGACAGCCAGGGAAGAAGAGAAAGAGCTAAAGTGTCTGCTCCTCTCCCTCCAGGGCGAGGCAGCACAGGAAGAGCAGAGCCAGCAAGCACCTCCGTGCATTTGACCTCTGCTGGGAGCAACATGGGCCTTCTCTCCAGGAAGCAGCAAGGGTTGGCACAAAGAGGTAGAGAGCGCCATCCTTGTCCTCAGCCCACAGCCAACAAGGTACTAGCAGGGTAAGAAAGAGCTTGAGAAAAGCACAGAATGCTCTAATCAAGTTCAGGTGCAAGAGGCACTACTCGCCATAGGGAATGGGGAAGATGCTAATGAGTAGGTGGTATTTGAACTAGGATCTTGAAAAATGAATAGAATGTGGGCATTCAAGACATAAAGATTTTCACTAATCTCTCTCTACCCCGCAGGGTTAGACAGCCAAAGGTTCAGGCAGATGGACTGCCCAGAGAGAGGAAAGCTTGCAAGACTGGGCAGCTCCACAGATGCCTCAGAGGAGGTGTCCTCTGAGATGGCTCTGGTCTCTCTGCCCTGGTTTATTCCATAGTAACTACAGATTAGAGCCATGGCCAGAACTCCTAACATCAGCCCTACACACACCCATTTCTGACAGAACAGAGCTACCCCTGGTAGAGGATGCGTAAGGAAGACACTGGGCAAAGAATCAACTCTAATGTCTACTTGATGTCCCGGGACGGATGAGGCTAAATTCCCACCGGTGTGCCATGCTCTATCGGGCCGATATTCCAAGACCCCGATTCATAAGAAAAACATTTCCAAAGACATTTCTTTGATATGTGCTCCTATAAAACATGAGTTAATGTTCTAAAATTTTGATACATAAAATGACCTTTTTAGAAATATGTCCATATCCTGTTACTGAATCACTAACGAACCAACATTAAACTTCTGAGAAATTGCCATTCTCATTTTTTAATTTGGGCTCACCCAGGGCCAGCTGGCCTGACACTGACCTGAGTGGGGACAACACTCCAAGAAGGAAATCTGTGTTGTTTCCTGAGAGGTCCTTTGCCAGCAGAAAGTTCCTCCTAGACCTCAGAACTTTCTAAGGGGAAACCTGGGTGTGTACCCACACTGCCCTTCACCCTGTCATCGCTGACTATGCTGAACCGCAAATGGCAGAGCTCCTGTGGGACAGGCCCTCCAAGTTCCCTGTGGCTGAGGCAGACCACAGGAAAGAGGAGGCCAGACATGTGCTGGGGGGGGGTCTTCATGGACAAGGTGCAGGCAGAGAAGGACACACCTGCAGCATGCCTTCCAGGGAAACCTGAAGCTGTTGCCCAGGTGAGCTCTGTGCATACAATGAACCAAGCTCACCTCAAAACCTATATTTTAGTTTCAATTGACATTAAGGCTTAAAAGATGATCACATCTTATGTAAGATTGGTGAGACTTCACTGGAAAGCATGGAAATGTGCTTGCCATTAATGCCTGAATGTGTTTTTGGCTGGGTTTCTGGATATGTACAATAGCAGCTATTAAAAGTCAGTTCTAGGCCGGGCGCGGTGGCTCACGCCTATAATCCTAGCACTCTGGGAGGCCGAGGTGGGCGGATTGCTTGAGGTCAGGAGTTCGAAACCAGCCTGAGCAAGAGCGAGACCATCTTTAACTAAAAACAGAAAAATTAGCAGGCCATGGTGGCGCATGCCTGTAGTCCCAGCTACTCGGGAGGCTGAGGCAGGAGGATCACTTGAGCCCAGGAGTTTGAGGTTGCTGTGAGCTAGGCTGACACCACTGCCGACACAGTGAGACTCTGTCTCAAAAAAAAAAAAAAAAGTCAGTTCTAGTTTTACCTGAGTCTTTAACAAATCATAAACCCTGGGCTGAAACTTCCAATCGTCTTATCTGTTTCAGTTGCAACAGAGGGGCAGTCAAGACAAGAATTCTGCTCTACATATCTGGAATTCTGACCCAGACAGTGCATCTAAATCCTATAGAGACAGGTGTCCTGTGCAGTAATAAATAAGGTTTAAGAAGTGACAATCAGGCCTGGTGTGGTGGCTCATGCCCATAATCTACCACTCTGGGAGGCTGAAGTGGGACAATCGTTTAAGCCCAGCAGTTAGAGACCAGCCTGAGCAAGAGCGAGACCATCTTTAACTAAAAACAGAAAAATTAGCAGGCCATGGTGGCGCATGCCTGTAGTCCCAGCTACTCGGGAAGCTGAGGCAGGAGGATCGCTTGAACCCAGGAGTTTGAGGTTGCTGTGAGCTAGGCTGACACCACTGCCGACACAGTGAGATTCTGTCTCAAAAAAAAAAAAAAAAAAGACAATCACACATGCCCATTGGGAAATGGGGCATTTTCAAAGGGATTTGTTCAATGTGAGCAAGAGTATCTAGGTCAGCAACTGTAGGTAAGAATCTTCAGGGTCCCATGAACTGGCTTCCTTTACCCGTTGATTTACATATGCAGGGAGGGGGGGGGAGGAGGGGAGGAGGGGAGGGAGAGCAGAGAGGGAGGAGGGGAGGGGAGGGGAGGGGAGGTCCATCTTACCCTTCGACCGGCCTCGTTGTTCTGCAGGTTCATGAGCACTCTGCCCTGCTCCTCCGATCCCTTGGCAAAGTTCTTCTCCCGCTCCCGGGCATCCACAAACTCCTTGGCGAAGCGGTAGCCGTACTCCACATTGTCCCCGCAGCCGCCCCACAGCCAGTCCCGGGGCAGGTCCTGGGGCCGCGCGGCGCGGCTGCAGCCGCAGGTGGACAGCTCGCCCTCGCGGCACGCGCGGCTGATGGCGTTGACCACGCCCGCGGCGCTCACGGCGTAGGTGAAGGCCGTCTCGCGGCTGCCTGCGGAGGACAGCGGACAGGTAGGCAGCGACTCCCTCCCGGGCAGCCCTGGCGCCTCCCACCGCCTCCTGGCTGCCGAGACACTGCCGCGGTCAAGCCTCATTTTCAAGGGCTGAAACCCGCCTGGCTTTTGCTTCTGCCTTTTGGCCCAGCTCTACCCTATGAGACCGCACAGAATAAAACGAATGGCACAGCCCTGGCCTGCACCAACACCCCTGCAGAGGTCTGCGGGCCTGTGGACTCCCAGGAGGCAGCCGCCTGGGGCGGGGAGAGTGGGCATTTAGACACACAACGCGTGAGACTGACCGGAGACGCAGGGGACGGCAGGGGATCAATAGCAGGGCTCTGTGTCCTGGCAAAAATTCCTTTCTCACCACCCTATTAGCTAAAAAGACACATTTGTCTTTTTTGGTTGTCATCATTATCTAACTAGATAGAGCAGAGTCCAAGAGTTGAAAGTCAACTAGAACGACAATGTCCAGAAGAATCCAAACTATCTCCCTCCAGTAAGATCCACTCAGTCTCCTAAAGTCAAGAGCACCAAGACCACATCTATGGTATCTGCATAGTTCCTCTAGATATCCAGATCATTTTCCAGTAGAAAATCCAGCTACGCTCCTCATTATTACTTTAGTGAACCACTTAAAAACTCATATGATGTATGTTCTGCTTCAATAAAATGTCTATGAGAAATACTCAGCTACCAGGGAAATGCAAACCAAAATCACAAGAAAATACCACTTTGCATCCATTATAGATGACTATAATCAAAAAGACAAGTAATAGCCAGGTGCGATGGCTCACACCTGTAATTCCAGCTACTTGGGAGTCTGAGGAGGAAGGATCACTTGAGGCCAGGAGTTCAAGACCAGCCAGGGCAACATAGTGAGACCCTGTCTCTAAAAAATTTTTTTTTTAAATTAGCCAGACTTGGTGGCGTACACCTGAGGTGGGAGGATCTTTAGAGCCCAGGAGCTGCAGTGAGCTATCATCATGCCACTATGCTCCAGCCTGGGCAATAGAGTGAGACCATGTCTCAAAAAAAAAAAGGTAATAATAAGTTGGTGAATTGGTGAAGATATGGAAAAATTGGAACCTTCCTGTACTGTTGGCAGGAACATTAAACAGTGTAGCTGCTTTGGAAAATAGTCTGGCAGTTCTTCAAAAGGTTAAATATAGTTAGCACATGATCCAATAATTCCATTCCTAAAAATATAGGCACAGCTTCTTGTTTTATTGCACTTTACTTTATTGTGCTTTGCAGATATTGCTTTTTTTTTTTTTTTAACAAAATGAAGTTTGTGCAGTTCTGTGTGGAGCATGTTTACCGGTGCCATTTTTCCAACAGCATGTGCTCACTTTGTGTCTGTGTCAGCATTTTTTAGCAATAAAGTATTTTTAATTAAGGTATGTATATTATTTTTTAGATATGCTATGACATACTTTATAGACTATGGTATAATGTCAACATAACTTTTCTATGCACTGGGAAGCCAAAAAATCCACGTAACTAGCTTGATTGTGAGATTCACTTTGTTGCTGTGGTCTGGGACCGAGCCCACAGTATCTCTGAGATATGCCTGTATGCCCAACAGAAATGAAAACATGTCCACACAAAAACTTACTCATTAATGCTCACTGCAGCATTATTCATGATAGCCAAAAAAGTGGAAGCAGCCCAACTGTCCATCAATGGATGAATGGATAAATAAAATGTGGTACTATCCATACAATGGGATATTATTCAACCACAAAAGGAATAAAGTACTGATATATGCCACAACATGGATGAACCTTTAAATCACTATGCTAAGTAAAAGGAGCCAGTCATCAAGGTCACATATTGTATTGTCTCATTTATTTGAAATGTCAGTATAGGCAAGTCCTTACAGACAGAAAGATTAGCGGTTGCCTAGGGTTGGAGGTTGGGGGATGGAGCGAGACAGCTAATAGGCATGCCGTTTCTCTATGGGGCGGTGAGAACGTTCCAGAATTAAACAGTGGTGAGGGCTGCACAGCCCTGTGAGTGTACTAAAAGCCACTGAATTACACACTTTAAAATGGTGAGTTGTATGGTATGTGAATTATATATCTCAAAAAGGCTGTTATAATAAATAATAAATAATATTCATAAAGACTCAGATATGGAGGGAAGAGAGTGGTTCTTGGCAGGAAACAGATTCAATCCTCATCTCAGAGAGCAAACCAGCAGAACCTTCTGCCCTCTACTTCCTCCTCTCCGGAGACTCCCGTCAGAGGTAGACACCCACAGTCCTGCCCTGGCAGTGGAGAGGGAAGCAGTCTGCAGTCCAGTATAGGTCTAGAGTGACTTCCTACCTTGCCCTGCATCTTGTCTATTGTCTAGGCACAACACAGGGCGGTTTGTAAACAGAGCACACTGGTCGAGTCAGTTTTCCTCAATTAACCAGTGGTCGGCTTCTGGTCAGTTGTGAAACAGGAACAGCCCAAGAAAAATCTGAAAGATGGCAGGAAGTTACCCTGGTGATCCAGGCAACAGCACTGGCATCTATGTCAGTGCCGAGCCACGTCAGAGCCAAGGGTCTGGCCTGGGGCAGCGGGGCTGTGACAGTGAGCACCGAGAGCGCCCTCAGGGAGGAACGCTGGGCCCCACGTCTTTCTAAAACGCAGCCTCTACCCTGACGGGGCACCCGGGAAGAGGACGGAGCCTGTGAGGTGGCCGCCCAGAGCCAGGCTGCATCCCTGGGACCATCCCTTCCCTGGCACCCTCAGAGAAGCGGCTAGGTTTTCAAGGTAACACATTCCATCTTTTTTAAATGACTCTAATCACCAGAATGTTGTTTCTTAGATGAAGCTGAAATATGCCTCCCCGTAACTCCCTCCTGCTGCGGTTGCACAGTAATCCCTTTTCCATTTGACAGCTCTTCAGTGTTTGAAAACAGCTAAGAAGCCTTTTACATCTTCTCCTTTCCAAGCTACATATGTCTGATTTCTTTCCACCGTGCTTTAGCAAACATGCTTTTCAGAGTTGAGCCAGCCCTCTCAGAATTGCCTTTTAAAACAATGTGCCTGCAGCCAAACACAATACACCAGACATTGTGTACTCTGGTTTGGGACCTGGATTTGTCCCCAGGTGCATTAGCCATCTCTTGCAGTCACTCCGCCTGCCTCTTCTGGTCAGGGCTGCATTAGACGCCTAGTGTGAGTAGCTCTGTCTTCACAGGCCAGCGTTTGGACCCTCTAGTGAGCCTGTGAGTGCGGATTACTACTGCTAGACCTGGCAAGAAGGAGATGCTCAGGCTTCACAATGGGTAAGCAAGGCGGAGGCTTATCTGTGTGCACAACAGTCCAGAGTTGAAGCTCAAACCATCTCCAGGATAAAAGGCTAGTAAACCAGCAGCCATGGAGCTACTCCCTACTCAGGAGACTTGGGTCTTCACCCCACAAGGAGACAGCAGAACGACATCATGCCCTGTCTGTTCCATAGCAGCCCAACTACCAGGAGGGTGTCTCTGTTCCCTGGGCAGAGGCTGGGTGACACGCCGGAGGCGGCTCTGGGCTGCTCTGCTGCCCTCTGGTGACAGACTTTGCAGTAGCTTCCAAGAAGAAAGGAAGCTTTGGAAGCCAGACATAAGAGTAAGATGGCAGGGCGAGGTGGCTCACATCTGCAGCCCTAGCCCTCTGGGAGGCAGAGGCGGGAGGATCAGGAGTTAGAGACCAGCCTGAGCAAGAGTGAGTGAGCCCCATCTCTGCTAAAAATAGAAACAATTAGCCAGGCACAGTGCAAGTGCCTGTAGTCCAGCTACTAGGGAGGCTGAGGGAGGAGGATCCCTTGAACCCAGGAATAGCACTCTAGCTGGGGAAACAGAGCAAGACCCTGTTCTCAAAAAAAATAAATAAATAAAAGTAAGAGGATTTGCCAGGAGTTACTCAGGGCCCAGAGGGCCAAAGGGAGGACAGCTGTCCAGGCACATCGCGCCTCAGGGAAGCCGCACAAAGGACTGGGGGAAATGAGGCAGACAGAAGGGCTTCATTCTGACCCAGAATGGGATGCAGAGAGATCTGCTCTCTTTGATGGCCTGCTTTGATGAGTCATTTCACGGTGCAAATCTGAACTGAGCAGAGCTTCTATTCCTTCCAACCCCTCTCTTTCCTAAAGTAAAGCCTCACTCGCACAAAATGACACATGAAAAGGGTCTAGCCAATGTCTGGCATACATTAGGTCCCCCATAAACATTAGCTACCTTGGGTGATGAGAGGGTACCTCTCTCCACACCTGAGTCATCCTTGTTTCCTCACCCAAAACACTGGGCAGGGAGTGCTGCTGACCGAGACTTTCTCCAGGAGGAAGGGACAAATACCAAAGGAATCGAGAAGAATCAGTACATTGTGAATACACCCTAGTAAGCCCCTAAGTCCACTCTCTGGGGAAAGCTGCTCTCTGGGGAGAGGCTGTCACCGAACACACGAGCATTGCTTCTGCGTACCTTGTGTTGGTACCAAAGGGAGCGACGCACCGAAGTTCAAAGTGTGCTTCCCCCAGCTTTGCCTCTCAATATGGGCAGAGCAGGTAGGGAAAGAGGTCTGGAGTAAGTGGGAGGGGGAGAAAGGCAGAACCCCAAATCTCCAACTCCCCTACTCCCCCTGCCAGGCTAAAGGAATTCTTTGGGAAAACCCTCAGGTAACTCCAGAATGTGGCCTTTTCAGGGGAGCGGTTCTGAGAGACAGGACCAATACAGTGTTCTAACACCTTCCTTTTATGGCCCTGGAGATAAGACCCAGTAGAATAGGGCCGGATTTCTCAATTTCTTGCCAGGGAGGGGAGGATTGCATTTCAAAAGGACCTAAAACAATTAGACCTCAGATCACACCTCCATCTAAGCAATAGGGCAGCCAAAGAATCCCAGGCCAGCTTGGGAGAGGGGAAGGGACAGGAATCCAGGGAGATGGGCCCTCTCCCTCTCATCTTTGTCTTTAGTCTTACCCCTTTTCCTCTTTCACACACATCCCCTTTCAAATGAAAAAGCCAGGGCTGGGGCTGGTAGGGTTATTGACAGCTATCACCAGTTTGGCCCAACCTTTCCTATCTCTCTTTCAAGGGTCCAGTTAGAAGGGGCAACAATCCTACAAACATCCAGGGCTGCAATTGTTGGTTCCCTACCCCAGGCTCTAAAACAAAACGCAAACAAACCAACCCCAACCAGCCAAATGAAAAAACCTGAACAGGAGGTGCTAGTTGCACAGAGAGACAAGGCAGTAGGCAGTGGTGGTGGGCGGGTCTCCTAATCCTCTCTAACTCAACTCAGATGTTCTGCCCCCGCCCAGCGCCGGAGTCACTAACAGCCTGCCGCAGGGTGAGGCTGGAGGAACACTCAGATGTGCGGTTCAAGTGTTCTCCCAGACTCTGCCTCCTGTGGGCCTCTCTCTCTTCTTGCACACTGCTGCCAAGCAAGATGAGCACAGTTCCTTTGGCCAGGCCCGGCTGCCCTGGCCTCTTACCTATCTGCATGACTCTGCCAAAGACAGATGTGTTGTCCACGGTGCTGCAGTTCCACCGCCTCTGCCGAAACTGGTACTGGCACTCCTTGATGCCCGTCTTGGCCCCCTCCCCTATGTAGGCCATGTGCTCCTGGTACAACTGGCACAGCTTTCTCTGACCAGGGGAGAGCCCAGGAAGCTGACTGCACACGGGCTGGGCACCGATGATAAACATGTCAGGTCTCTGCACCGGGTTCATAGCTAATGACCTAGGACAGCAATGCAGAAACGGGGAAGAGGCGGGGTGAGTGCGGCCTGTGTGCAGCAGTGCGTCATGCACGACACATTTACCCAGCCTGGGTACGAGGCCCTGGACTACGGACATAGAAAGGAAAGTTAATAAAACTGAGTGCCTCCTTAAAAGGACAAACTGAGGGAAACTGAGGCATGACCACAAATGGCACGCGAGATGCCAGATACCTAGAGCAGACGGGCGCTTCTGGATCCATGGAGATCTGGCAGGGAGCTCTTACAGCTGAGGAGAAGCCTTTATAAGGGAATGGCCAGAATCTGACCGGGTCTTAAGGATGGGGGCAGGCAGAGGAGAGGGGGCAGGGCAGGGAGCAAAGAGAGCCAAAGCTCAGCAGGAGAGCACTGCCCTACTCAAGGAGTAGGAGAGACTCAGTTTAGCCCAAGTACAGGGTATGCGCTGGAAAGCAATCAGTCCCTTTAAATGGAACTCCCCTCAAGCCTTAAAACAGGACCCAGTTTACATACATCACAATATAGTCTACATGTTTCCACTTCCACATCCCTCCACCCCACCCTTCATCAGTTTGGGGTCTCCCTTTTGCTCATCATATACCAGCCATATACAGCCTTCTCTGATGAGAAGGCTTGTGGATTTGCCAACTAAGTAAAAATGTGGGTGGAGCACAGACCATGCAACATTGGTGGCGACTGCCTGCCGTTGCCATGGACTTAGCAGTGACAATAGCCTTAAAGACACAAGAAGAAAGCTAGACACGGTCCTGCAAATCCCTTGTCTGGTCTTCAGACTTGTAATACAGGAACTCTACTCTCCCTGGGCCTGCCAGCAAAAAACAACAAAAACAGCAAAAAACCCACAAAATCCAACCTACCGGGTATCAATATTCTTGTTGACCCAACAGCAAGAATTCACAGGGACGGAGGAAGGTCCAGGGAAAGGGAATATGGACAGGATCAGAGAAAAACACAACTGAGCTGATCCTTTATCCTCACGGAACCCTTACCTCTGGGGGCGAGGGCAGGGCACGCTGTCCTAGTTTTCCTGGGATAAAAGAGGTCCTTAGCATTCCTATGGATGAGACAGGGTCATGACACATGGTACCCTTTCTCCACAGCTCAAATACAGAAGGAGGCCTCAGGCTGTGAAAGCAGGACTTGAGCCCCTCACTCACCACCAGGAGCTGGCCTCTGTCAGAAGCTGAGCCCAGCCAGAGAGCAGAGCAGCCGTGAACAGCAGCAGCAGGCTGGGCATGGTCGGCCTCAGCCCTCCCCAGTGCCCTGGGACTAGCAGCTTCCAGAATCGGGCTCCCTGGAGAAGACAGAAGGGAAGGGAGGATCAGTGTGGAAATGCAACAGATAAGGGAACTAGGAGAGGGGCGGGAAGTACAGGAGGGACCTAGAGTCAAGTTCTGCTGCCTGAGAAATTCCGCCTCTTTCCAGCCTCCATCCCCTACTGCTTATCTTCTCACCCTAGCACTTGCATGTCTCCTACCCCAAACTGTGGGAACCCTACACATGACCTAATTACCAGGGAAACAGTGAGCTGAGACAACAGAAAAGAGAAATGAAAAGCCACTTCAAGAACAGAGCAGGCTCCCAGGCGCCGTGGCCATTGCAAAGCACACCTGCCCTTGTCCCAGAACACCCAGGGGAATGGGGACCATCGCCTCCGCGCCTCTCTTTTACCTCTCACTCCAGCCCAGAGGCTAACTTCTCTGACCACCAGGCTCTCCTTTGTGGAGGTTAAAATAAAATTCGTGATTTAAGTTCACTTATACCCAAAGAGAAGGTTTCCTCACTCCTAATCTGTACCCTTCTCGCCCTTGACAAGTTTTCCAAGTCCCAACCCTTGCTTACAGAGCAAGGACTGTTCACCTTCTCCAGGCACCTTCTCTGAGAAACGTAAAAGCCACCCGGCGAACCGCCCACGCGAAAGCCTTGGTGGCCGACGCGGCGCCTTCCTGGGTGGCCCGCCGGCGCGCCCGGGCGGCATCTCTCGCGTCAAACGTCCGTGCCCAGGACACATCTTCCAGACGCCGCCCCCTTCCCTGGTAGCTCCAGAGCCCCCACACCTTGGCCTTTCGTCACCAACGTCGGCGCCTGTGTCCCCAAAGAACACTTTGTCCTGAGCCCTCCGACATCGACGGAAACTCCACGCTCCGGCCCCCAGCGCGGGCCTACAAAACACTCCCCCTCCGACTCGCCCCACCTCGCTTCTCCCTCAGCCTCCACCTGGGGCGAGCCCCACTCGTCCCGCGGGCCGGCGGGGCCCGCACCTGCAGCGCCGCGCACACGCGCCCGCCGTCCGCGCCGCCGCTCTCACCGCGCCGCTCCGCGCTGCGGGCTCTCCGGGCTCTCCGCGAGGGGCGGCAGGGGCTTTGGGTCATCAGCCTAGGAAATGATTTTGTCCTGGGGCCACCAAGAGAGGAAGCTGGCCTGAGCTGGATCCAGGAGAGCTGGGACAAGGCCTTCCCCCACCCCCTTTCGGTTGTTCCTCCGGAGGTCTCGCCCGGGTAGGGGCACCGGCGGGCAGGTGTGCGGGCGGCTGGGCAGATCAAAGGAGAAACTTGCCCCTTCCCCTTTGTCATGCAGAGCCAGCTCGGAAATGTTGGCCTCCAGCCTGCCGGCTAACTGCTCCCCGCCCGCGGACCTCTCCTCCGAAGGACGCCCCCGCCCCCGCCCCCGCCCCCAATAAATCCTCCGCGTCCCTCGGGGCAGGAGGTCTGTGAATGCACCGGCTGGAACCGAGAGAGATGGAGCAGAGATAGGGCTGGCACCAGAAGCTAATGGCTTTATGGAGGGGAGGGGACCGGGTCCTGGGGAGAGAAGACGAGAGAAAAGCTTCAAAGAGTCTCCTTGTCCAAACATCCTCAGCTCCACCTACCCGTCCTTCCCGGCGGCGAGGACTCGGGGCTGCCGTGCCCTCCGGCCTCCCCCACCGGCGCTCTCCCTGCACCTGCCCCGCCATGCGCGTCCCCCCGCCCTGCGCCTGCACAGACCTACTCCTCGACGACAGCCACCCTTTCCACTGCCAGGCAGCGGAGTTCTTCCTCCCAGCTGATGACACTTTGTGTCCCCGTGGTCCTCCTCAAGCTGGTGTCCCTCACCTCTGTCCCAGCTTTCCACCAGGCTCCTGGTGACGTCTTTCTGGCACTGAGGGCCTAGATTCAAGCCAGGCCACATTGGGGGCCACTGTTTCTGAGCTAAGGACAGGGGTCAGTGCCTGCTAATGGTCACTGTGGCTAATGGTGACTGTCCCAGCGACAGGCTGACAGGCCAGCGAGGTCCAGGCTTCCCAGGCGCTGCTGATCCCCCTTCGGTGCCTATGAACATATACGGGTGCTGTTCCCACCACCCTGTGCCTTCCATCAAACCCTCAGCCCATTAAAAAAGTGTATTTTAGGCCGGGCGCGGTGGCTCACGCCTGTAATCCTAGCTCTCTGGGAGGCCGAGGTGGGCAGACTGCTCAAGGTCAGGAGTTCAAAACCAGCCTGAGCAAGAGCGAGACCCCGTCTCTACTATAAATAGAAAGAAAAAATTAGCCGGGCATGGTGGCGCTTGCCTGTAGTCCCAGCTACTCGGGAGGCTGAGGCAGCAGAATCGCTTGAGCCCAGGAGTTTGAGGTTGCTGTGAGCTAGGCTGACGCCAGGGCACTCACTCTAGCCTGGGCAACAAAGTGAGACTCTGCCTCAAAAAAAAAAAAAAAAACAATAAAAAAAAAGTATTTTAGAAATTACAAAGAAAAGTCCTCGCATGTATAGTGGCTTCTTTCTCTGTCAGATGTGTGCTACCCGAAATTGAACCCCTTTCCCCAAATGCACACATCAACCCCCAAACACGCTCTCTGTCCTGGCAGGCAGATATGAGCTACCCCTGCAGTGGACCCAGAACTGAAGCCAGACAGCTGTTTGCCCTCTTGTGTGGGGGTGGGGAGAGAAAGGACCCCTTGGACGGGTAAATGCCAGGTGACTGGTTGCATTAGTGTGGGCAAAATGGAAACTTTTCACCTCAACATGATGGGGGAGGCAGGAAGCTGTGTGGGGCCTGAGGATTTGGTCTTAATGAGCAAGACACATAGAAAGCCCCATCTGTGGGTCACTAGTGAGATTTACAGCAGGACTCAACCAAGTGAGGCTCTCTCTTGTGTAGGAAGAAAGATTTGGTAAATACCCAAAGGCAGGGAAAGTGAATTCCTTCTGCTGCTGTTGTAATAACTATAGATTTCCCCAGAGATCTAAAAATTTTCCTTCCCTAAGAGGCAAGTATCATTTCAAACACACCAAACACTAGTTAGGTATGTGGGAATGGGGTATCTATTCTTTAGTAGTGAATGGGAGGCTGGGGAAGGGGCTTGCAAAATTCTCAATCAGGACCCTTTCTGGCCAGAATGAGCTGGTCAGACATCTGCTCTACTCTTTCATTCATTCATTCATTCATTCATGAGTCAAATATGCATCAGGTTCCTAATATGTGCCAGTTACTGTTCTAAGTGCCAGCGATACGGCAGTGAACAAATACATAATATGTTAGGTCCAGTGAATACTCTGAGGAAAAATAAAAGAGGGGGCAAGAATCAAGAAGGGTAAAGGGTGAGAGCTTACATGACACAGGGTCCTTGGGAAGGCTACTCTCTGAAGCACCTGCCCACCTGCTCCAAACCTCTCTGCAGAAGGGATGGTGGTGGGGTGTAACTCTGCTACTCATCCAACACTGCTCTGGGCACATCCAAGGTCCCTCACGGAGACTGCACTGCCCACTTTGCCATCGTGCCAAACGGGCACATATCTGAAATCAGGGACTCCAAGCTCTCTTCGTTTTTCTGATAGGACTCAGTCACTATTTTCATTCCCTTAAGGGACCGTGTCCATCCAGCCCAGAGTTAAGAGACCAAGGAGAGTGGCCCAGGCAAGTAGAACTGAGACCCCAGCAACTCTCTCCTCAAAGGGGTATCTCTGTGCTTTCCACGCACACCTCAGAGCAGTGCCTGAGAAGAAAACCCCACCCGAAGGGACAAGGGATTGATTTCAGGTCACTAGCCCTTCATCAAAACCATCACTGGATGTGTAGTGCTGTTTTCCCCCAGAGTCTGGGGACTCAAGCATCTCATGAGTTGCACAGGAAAGGGTGTCACCTCCAGACAGGTATCCTCCCACCGAGAAAGCTACCCAGAAATTGCAGAGAGCATAGATGGGAGCCTCTGCAAGGTTGCCACTGGCTAACCTTTACTTCCCGACCCAAAGGGGGACTAGTGAATGTGTGATTTAAAAATACATTTGCAATTCTGCTAACATTCCTGGCATAACAAGGTAGACGATCTTAGCATGCTTTGGAAAAGGACACTTCCCCTAGTGAACTTGTAGCTGTATTAGAGCTAAGTGACTGCCTGTTAGCGGATGGTTCCCACAGTGGAACGGGAAGGGCAGGTGGGGCAGCAGACGTTGCTAACGGGAGTCCTGTGTCTTCTCTCCCCTTGGTCCCCTTCGTTTCCCCCACAGTGGAGAAAGACTCTTTATGGATCTTAAAACCCTTGACACACACCTCCTAAACGTACATGAGTGTCCTTCATTTCCTTCCCTATTTCCAAGTAAGTGCTCTCACTCTCTTACACCTGAACACCAGAGCAGTTCTTCCTGGTCTAACCCACAACTGCACATAGCTATGACACCAGTTTTCCTAAAATGCTTATTTTAAATCATAATATTCCCTGTTTGAAAACTTACAGTGGTTCCCAGTTCTAAACTTCCAATTTGGCCTCATTTTACCTCTCATTGTCTTCCTGAATTTCCCAGTATGAGATCTCTTTTCCCAATCTCCTCCTACTCCTTGAACAAGTCCCACTTCCTCAACCCAAGACCTCATCCTGACCCTCTTCCCAAAGACGCATTCTCCTTTGCTTTCCAGCTATCCAATCAGAAACTACTTTCAAGTCCATGCTCAAGATTCACTTCCTCCATAAAATTGTTCTTGATTAACCAAACCCCATGAAAATCCTTCCTTGACTAAAGTTAAGTAACTGGTTCATATAGCAATTGAATGGTTGACACTTGTTTGGAATCCAGATCTTTCTACACTTCCCCAAACACAGATACCCCCGTCACTGGAGCAGAATGCCTTCCCGGCTCTGCTTTTCTTCTTTCCATCACTGCCCTGTTACTAAGGCTGTGAATGGTATGACTGTCAGAGAATAATATCCCGATATACAGGAGGGAGCACAAAAAGCAAGGTTTATGAAAAAAATGCAAAGTTACTAGCATAAAACACACACACACACCCTTGTGGGGGAAAACAGCCACACTCTTCTACCCCAAC